AAAAAAAAAAAAAAAAAAAGAAGACAAAAGATGTATCAATGTATGAGTTGTTTTTTCTAAACTCAAACCTCAATATTTAGGTTTAATTACAGTTTTGGCACTTTGCAATAAATAAGTGGGTTTTGGGTTGTAGTTTGAACACTCATCTCTAAATGGTTTACTATCACTGATCATATATATAAAATATTAAAGAGTGAATATATCTGAATGATTTTTAATTATCTATACTTTTCTAAATTTTCCAAAATTTCTATAATAAATATTTGTAATATGGGGGCTGGGGATTTAGCTCAGTGGCAAAGCGCCTGCCTGGCAAGCGCAAGGTCGAGAGTTTGCTTCCTGGTACCGGAAGAAAAACAAAACAAACAAACAAATAAATATTTGTAATATGGAAAAGTGATGAAAGCTATTGTTTCAAAGTGTAACAATGAATACATAGGTCTCTGTGTCCCAGGATGGATCATGTTTGCTTCCTATTTAGACCTGAGCATGGCTTCCTGGCAAGGCACACTTACCTGTCCAACTGCTTGCAGGTTATAGCAGACAACATCCTTGTAGGCTGTGGAAGTTCCATAAAGAAGCGCCTCAGTGAGCCAGCAAATTCCCAGGAGCAGGTCAGAGAAGCTCAGATAAACGAGTGGCTTAATCTGTCAAAAGCCACAAAATTCTCATAAGTGAAACAACTGAGAGAACATGAGAATCCATTTTTTCTTTTTTGAGACAGGTCTCACTATGTAGTCCAGCCTGGCCTTAAACTCACCGTGATCCTCTTGCATCAGGCACCCAGACGCTGGGATTACAGGCATAAGCCACCACACCCAGCTCTAAGAAACAATTATTTTCACAGTTGATGTTCTGAATAGAAAACCAGGTGTCATATCACCAATACTTCTGTTATTGGTTGTGAGGAATGTAAAGGAAAACTCCATATAGGAAGGAATCTGCAATCACAGCTATCTCAGCTGTCCTGGAATCAGAGTACTCATGGATGGATTAACAAAGGAAGAATGAAAAAAAAATTCTGTGGTGGAGACACAACACAAACGAAAAATCGAGAGTTCTCTAGTTGTATAGCTGATATCTTCTAAATTAGAAAATGAGATTATCATCTGCTTAGTTGAGAACTTCTGACCATATTGATGAGATTTGTCCTCTTACTTAGCATCCGTCTCCTTTTGGATTACCCATTCCTCCTTATTTAAAAATTATTTTGGCCCTTCTGGAAAAAATTATATTTCTTGAGAGATACTAAAGAAGATCTAAAGAAATATGTTGTGATCATGGATTGAAAGATGCAGTACTGGGCCAGAGATATAGCTCAGTGGCACAGCGCCTGCCTGGCAAGCATAAGGTCCTGAGTTCAATTCCTGGTACCAAAATAAAAGGAATATTATAAAAATGGCAGTTCTTTCTAAATTGATCTATGGATTAAATGCAATCTCAATTAAATTTCAATTGATATTCCTATAGAACGTTACAAGCTAACTCTAAATCTAATGCAGGCATACAAAATATTAAGATAAGACATTCTTGAAAAAAAAGAGGAGACTGTGCCCTACAGCTCAAGACTTCATATAAATCTAGAGTACAGGGGCTAGGGATTTAGCTCCCTGGCACACTGCCTGCCTGGCAAGCGTGAGGTTGTGAGTTCGATTCCTGGTACTGGAAAAAAAAAAAAAAACAGTAAAAATACAGTACTATGCTATTAGCACAGGAACAGACCTTTGATATATGATAAAGGTGGACTTTTTAATCATTGGGAAAAGGGTAGTCTTTTTAAAATATGACACCAGAATAACTGGGTGTCTACCTGGGGAAAAGTGAAATTTCATTCCCACTTTACACCTCATACTATACTCAAAAAATAACTACAGGTAATTGAAAGACCTGTATATGAAAGGCAAAACCTAAAAAAATTTTTAAAGTAATATAGGAAAATATTTTCAACTTCTGGTTAGGCAGAGTATTCTTAAACAAAACACAAAGGTTCCAAAAGAAATAATTTAAAATTTCAACAACATAAAAATTAAAGAATAAAAGGTCTTTTAACATCACAGCCAGGCATGCTGGTGCACACCTGTAATTCCAGCATTCAGAAGGCTGAAGCAGAGGGACCAGGAAAATAGCTCAGTGGAATCGCGCCTGCCTGGCAAGCACGAGGTCCCGAGTTCAATTTCTGGTACCAAAAACAAACAAGAAAGTTTTGCCGGGTGTGGT